TTTTACTCCCAGCGATTGTTGTCATGCCAATCCACTGGAGTCCTCAAGGAATAGATTTTCTTTTTTGATACCCCCGCCCCGCCCCACCCCTCCTCCCCCTCCACACGCCTTCCCCCCTCAAATTTCGACCAGTTCTCAACGTACGGGTGTGTGTATGGTCGTTGTGCAAGGGCTGTGCTAATCTTGAAACTGTATATCATTCCAATTCAAACGGATGAAAAAAAAAAAAAAAAAAAAAAAAGATTTAAATGGATGTTCTGAAGGAGATTACAGATGTGCTGGACCGGGGTTCTTTAAGTCGGACTCTCCTGACAATGCTGACAATGCTGACATCTTCTGTTAAGAATTTCCCAAGCTTCAACTTCCTTTTATGCTTCGCACAATAGTAGCACTCAAAGAAACTGAACTGAAGGCCAATCTTGAAGATGGCAATTGGAGAAAAGCTTTACATCAAAACAGCTCATATTGAACAATCACACCAGCGCATTTGATAAAAATGAGAAAAGGTGATGTCCATTTGAGGGCCAGGCTCAGCAGGCTGCACTGAGCAGTCTGCAACAAACGCACTCAAAACCGTGCACTGCGTGCAGTATAGAGCCAGAACACACTGGCTATGGCTGCACCCAAACCCCTCCTTCAGCTGCCAAGATTAGCGCTGCTGCTTCTTGGACCTGGTTTCAGCAGCTGTCATCTCCCCACAAATAGACTGGAGCACCAGGCAGGACTGCTAGGAGGGCATGCTCATGTCACCCCACTAGCAGAAAGCGGGGCTATTTTTAAAAAAATGAAAAAATAAAAAAATAAAAATAAATAAAAATAAAAACACACTCTTCAGAGTCTTCACTCCACCAAAATCTCGAACAGAAAAATGAATGACCTGTAGTCCTGGCACGTCACTTTTTGCTATGCCAATTTTGCCTGGCCCTACAGGGTCCTACCGAGGTCTGGCCTAGAGAAATTTAGAGGTCTATGTCCATAGGGTCCTATGTGTCCAGGATCAGCTAACAGTAAAAATGCTTACTTGGAGGTCCCAGGTTCAAATCTGACTGGCAGCAAACTTGAAAAACAAAAATGAACACTTCTTGTTTTTCGCCTCACATTTGGGCCAGGTCCTCCAAATCCCCCTGAGACCAACATCCTCACCTCAATTATTATTGGTGTAATATATAGTGTATACATTAGTACCAACAACTGTAGAACTGTACCATTTTACTCCAGTAATAATTAACAGCGATTTTGTCAAAATGGACATTATGTTATTTTATTTTTTGAACGAAATTGAAATCTCATTTTTTGGCCAAACTTTCATGAAATTGAGAAGATTGTTGTAGACATGTCTGAAGCTGCTCCAATATCTCTGAGTCAAAGCCGGGTAATCACCCCGGTATCTTAATCTTCCAGTACTATTCTTAAAAAAATCAGGAGAATGGGAGAAGATGGTGGGTTATCACGCGTCCTACCAGTGAGGGGGCTAGCTGGTAGGATGGGAGTATGGCATAGCAGCAGCTGAGATGGTGGCTCCGCTGCAGTCAGTCTTGCCGGAGGGAGGTAAAGTGGATTGATGGGGTGTTGTCATAGACATGGCTGGAGTAGCCCGATTAACACCGGGTAATGGCCCCGGTATCTCAATTTTCAAATTTCATTCTTAGGTCAATTGGATTTTTCTAGTAGGTCCAAGGATTCCTAGT